ATCAAAATAACATAGTAATTCAAAACTTTTGAAATCCCCATCTTGAATGAAAACAGAACAGTTTTACAGGCCCATTAAGTTACCGGGACTTTGAGAAACAGGCCTGTAGTGTATGTGGTTGATTCTTGTAAGCATACGCACGTATGCACATTATTCATTCCATGTACTTTTGAAATGAAAACTAAATACATGACAAGGCCTCTGATCTGTCAGGAAACAGTTCATTTTGTTTTCCCTGAACTCTCTTTTTCTTCCCCTTGACTTAATTCTTCTTGGGAGACATTGAGACTTGCGGGAAAATGTGAAACCTTTTCTAACAGACAGTTTCCCTCCGAGCAGACATGAAGCTTAATAATTATATATTTTCAAACCTGTTCTTTGTAATCCTATCTTCCTAACCATTTTTTCATTTATACTTGTTTCATCTTTGCATTCATATACTGTCTACTTCGACTCTTGAAAAGCCATGCTGGGGCTCATTCCTGAAAGAGCAAATCAGAAATTAATCATAATAGTTTAATATTTATGTAGTAATTTTCAAAGACTGATTCATAAGTTATAGTTTTGTACATAGAATAAGAAAGATGGTAAGTTTTAAGGTGGGTAAAGAAATTGAATGAGAAGCTTTTCATCTTGTCACAAGCCTGTGACAAACATTTAAGGGAAAATTCTGAGCAAGTCCCATTAAGAAGTAGTTTTGGTTTTGAATTGATTGTAATGCTTGTAGTGTGTAGTGGGAATTAAATAACAAAACTGAAAATTATTATAATGGAATTTTAATCCACAAGGTGGCTCTTCTTGTTCAATGTTTCCTAGTCGAATTGGAACTTTGTAATGTTGGTTTTTGTGGAGGGAAGAAAACTGGAGGATCTGGAGAAAAACCACTGAACCAAGAAGGAGAACCACCAACAAAATGAACCTGCATGTGATGCCAGCTCTTGGAATTAAACCCAGCTGGCCACAGTGGTGGGTCAGGCCAGGATTCTCTCTACTGTGCGACCTCCAGCATCCCCATGAGATTTTCAGCATGAAAATGACTTGAGCAACTGGCCAGTAAAATAAATACGTTTAAGTAAAACATCATGAGCATTAACTCCAAAAATAATCCTTAAATTGTGATAAGAAATCCTTTGCTCTCATGAAATTGTCATGAGAGCCAATCCTTGACCAGCATATACATACAAACATACATTACATACATACTTTATTTATAACCTCGAATTTAGAGTTTAAAGATAAGCTACTACATAATTATCTTCGAGTTACAAGAGTATAATTCTAAAATGTAAAATATAAAATTGTAACATTCTAAAATTTAACTATGACTGTAGAATCTGACTGGTGCTAACAGTATAGTACAATCGAGATTCCCATATACTTACTTTTCTCGTTTTGAAATAATGCCTCTGTGAATTCTCAACGGTGCGCTCTCTTAAAAGACAACATTTAACTGCTTGAATCTTCGGTACGGGTTGTACCACACTGAAAGGAGTCATTGTACGCTCGGAAGCCAACAACTATCGGTTAGATCTATTGGTGCAGGTTGCACCACTGAGTGTCTAAAAGAGTTTGAAAGTTTCTGAAGCCACCTGAAAGTGCCATTAAGTGAAAATAAGCTATACTGTAGTGGCATTCTCCTTGCACAAGCTGCACTTACGACACAAGCCGGGTCTGGGTGTGTTGACTTGTGTAAGAAGAACTAACTCGTGATACGACTACCTGAAAAAAATTGCTCAAGACCATGCTTACAACGAAGATGGCTGACTCGTGATGGGAGCGACAGAGCTGAATAGCGTATACGCATGCGCCAGGTTTTGCCGCGGAAACACGGATTTTGAGTCGTTCGCATGGTTGATTTCCTATTCTGTTGCTTCGAGGCGTCGTTTTCCTTGCCGCTTTTCTTTTACAGAACAACCTCCAAAAATTTGGTACACCCCCTAAAAGTTTTCAAAAATTAATTTTGTCCTTTCAACCTTTGGTAATAGGAAAGTGCCTTCGACGAAAACAGAGTTCCACGGTTTTAAAGGTCAGCCCTTATTATTTTCCGCTAATTTCGGTAAGTTTTAGACCTGGGACACTTGAGCCCGCGTTGTTGACCGCATACCCGCCGACGTAGCATTTCATTATTCAGCTCTGTCGATGGGAGCTCGTCACTCGTGGACAAATAAATAAACAAATGCGATCGTGCGATAATGTAGCTATACAGTTTGTGTAAGACACACCAAAATGCAACAATAACGCCTTTTTCTGGAGTTACGTCTACTTACGTCAAAGATAACCATGGTTACTGTGGATCTAACCTTAGTATGGCACGCTATTCGTCAAATCACGCGACCACAGCGTTTTGAAAACTATCAGAAACAAAATTTCACAAAAAACTGCCAGAAGAAGAGAACGTGATCTTTGATTTATGTGTGAATTCGAAATAGTCTCCATACAAGCGTTCAGATTCTACGGAAACTGTAGATAGCATGGAGCCAAAGGTAAGTGTTTCGAAAATGAAAATGTGACCTTCCTGAATGCCCCTCCTTAAAAAGAATTGTCTGCGTCATTTGGCGACGAAATCCGCTTGTATATGCGATTTCATTTTAGGACACGACTGAACAAACCTTTATCTCAATTGATTTTCTTTCTACTTCAATGACTGACGTTAAATTGAATTCCTACTGAGCTAAATATGCATGTTTCAGGCGGCTTAGAACTGGGTGAAAACGTTATGAGTTCCAGGAGCACGAAGCATTGGCAGGTGGGCATCTGAGTGAGAGCCTCGCCGAGTCAGCCTTTGAAGGTAAGCCATGAGGATTTTATGGTACATTGAGTTGACTTTCAGTTTAAGCGAATTACGTCTTGTATGAAACACGTTTTTGCGACCTTAAGGGAGTCTACGCCGTACAAACAAGCATTTCAGCTAAGCATGCAATCGTTACAATCAAACATGGCAGGCGTAATTTACACTAAGCATGAAACTGCAAAAAAATGTTTCTGAGGGTGAAGTAAATCACGCACAAAGGTCCAACGATCGATTTAATTTTACCGTGTTAAATTTGTCGAAAACATTCGAACAAAACCGCGTCATGTTTTGTAACGAATCAAATCGAAGTGCTGATCAGATTAGATGCGGGCTTTGTGCGGCGTTACACACCTCGTGGAGGCCGCACAAAAAAGAATAGTCGAGTAGAACTTGTCAGTAATAAAAATTAAACCCCTATGTTGTGTTTGGATGTTTATTTATGTCGTCGATAGGATTTTTTTTCGTGAAAAATGCGGCTTCGCTAGATCATTATGTCTCATGATATTAGGCGAGATATCCATATAACCCCATTCATTTATTATGCATAGCGTGTTGCAAAGAAACCTTTATATTTAGTCTTTGTGAAATGGAATGCATAATTAATGTATGGGGTTATATGGAACTCTTTCCTGTATTGCTATCTGGGGGGTAGGTGATAGCTAAACGTACTTTGCTATCCACTGATAGATTTTTTTATCCAGTAGATGGCGTTATTCAACCTTCGAACAACCGGGACCAGAAATATTATCAAAAGTCAAATCGGCATAGGGATAACACACGGATATAAGAGAAAAACAGAAAATATGATTAAATTGAATTTATTTCTAGAATTTTGCCATAGTCAGAAAACAAGGGAATGTGATCATATAGATTGTTTTGGTGGAAATCCGAATTGGAAAAAATTCTCTTCTTTTTAAAGGATGCGATAAACCCTTATCTTGTCCTTACATAATTTCACTATTTCAATACATTGTAAAACATGCTGTTGATAGGAATTAGAAAGCTATCAGTTATAGGACTCAGAACACTTTCCTAAACTCTCCTATTTAATATTCATGGAAAAACCGACTAGATGAGAGAAGATTTACTCTGAACTCTACGAAAAGGCCAATTTGATTTTCACATCACGCCGGAGACGTATCTTCACGATCACAGTTATATATGCCACGGTTTTTTAATGCCTTGAGAAGTACTAACGAGCAATTTTGAAAGAGAAACCAGTGTTCTCGAGATAAAAACTAGCGATAAAAAAGCACGACGTTTCGACCTCGAATTGAAACGCACTGTTTGTTTAGTGTTGGTTTGCCCCCATTGCACAAAGTTTTAGAATCTTAAGAAAGTGTCAGAATAAATTTAACTGCTGAAATGTTTTTTATTAAAGAACTCAAACTGGCAAAACTAAACAAACAATACGATTTAACTGGCAACAAATTTTTTGTTTAGCCGGAGTAGTTCTTGTTATAATTATTCCATTTTTTGTCTCAAACATTTTTCAACTTTTTCTGCATTTTAATGCTAGTTTAGAAAACTTTTACCCGTTTGAAAATGACCTCGGAGAGGTCGAAACGTCGTGCTTTTTTTATCGCTAATTCATATTTTGAAATCGATCTCTAAGAATATACTTATTGAAATCAGTGCTCATAAAGTGTTTTAAAATAGTTGAATGTAATACCCTTGCTTACCTTAAGATGTAATAGGTAATTTTGGAAGTGTAGATAGAAAGTGGAGATGTTGAAAATCGAACGGTAAACTAAATGAATACCACTCCTGAAGTATTTTTCTCTGAGTCAATCGGTTTTGACATCCGATATCTTATTCATTCTGCCAGTGCTCGACTAAAGACTGACTTAAAAGCAGCAACCAAATCTATCGGTTAGAAAGTCATTGACCTCTGTTCAACGAACGATCCAGTATTTCTTCATGGCCACTGCTGTAGCGCCTTCGTTTCTTTCGACAAAAGAGACAACCAATTACGCCCGGTTATGTAGGCTTCTGGTGGATGTGGGATCAGATGTCCTGAGACAAACATTTGAAAAGAAGCGTCCCCCGGGAAACCTGGACACGGTCCTGTCAAGCCCTCCAGTTTCTACCGTGTTGCTGTCACTGAAGAAGAACACAGTGTTAATTCCTCAACAATGGGGTAAACTTTATCCTGCTGTCAGGTCTTCAGTCTCATCGAAGAATTTCGACATAACTCTTTTAATGCTTCTGCTAAGGAACACTTGTGGTCTTGTTACTCCATCTACCGGCTGGAATACACCTCCTACTGCAGCAGACATATCCCTTGAGGCAGATATAGTTCGCATCAAAAGCTACAGAAACACAGTTTATGGTCATGCCAGCGAGGCCTCAGTTGATGACTCAACATTCAATCGATATTGGCAGGACATCCAAGGTCCATTAATGAGACTAGGAGGAGCAGTACCAAAGTGCTATTGATGATCTGAAAAAGGAATGCATGGATCCCGATTTCGAAGAACACTACAAAGAGCTTCTAAGGTAGTGGATAAAGGATGAAGTTAGCATTAAGGAGCGACTCGACGAAATTAGTAAAAGCCTGAGCGAATTAAAGGAAGCAATTGTCAATCCCACAAAGAAAGCAGGACACAAAGGTATTGTGTATGAGGATAAAATTTGCGCAACGGCCTTGAAGGGAAATATTGCAGGGCTTCTCGTCAGGGGTAATAAGCAGCTTACCAAATTTCATTTCAGTAATGTAAAATGCGTGCCTTTAAAAAAGCCCCAGCTTAGAGAAATTTCTTCCACTAAAAAAACTAATTCCTCTCTAAACCAAAATTGGAAAAATACCAGATGTTGTCTCTTCCATGCTTTTTGCTTAATGAGTGAGTCATAAGGTTTTTTCTCTTTTCTTTATTTTTCGTGCGGAGAGTGAAGAGAACTCATAGTTTAAATGGATTTCCAACAAGAGTCACTTGTAGTAAGTGTTACTAACCTGGTCGGGTTCGTCGAGAGAAAGAGATGGAAAAAGATTAAAATTCTCAATCAGAACAGGAGACGAAAGGACGCATTCTCTCCCATAAGTTTAGTTAGGCCTTACTCACTACTTTAAAAACGAAAAAAAAAACTGTTATTTTCTTTTAATCGGAGTTTGGACCCCCCATACCAAAACTTTCTGGATCTGCTCACGAGATGGGTTGGTTACTACGGGTAATCACATGATTTCGAATGCAATTTGGGATACATCAGAAAGAGGAGTTTTTCCAATGCCAAACAAATTGCAGGAGCCTGTAGGGCTCGTACAATTTGCAGTTTTCGAAAAATTTACAAGTACTGATTTATCCCGAACTGCAGGTAATACATAGCCAAAAAATATGACTGTTTTCCCCTTTAGTTGTTGTTTCTTCTTTTCTTTTTGGGTTCGGCGATTAGGG